GTATATATATTTATAAATAATAAATATATATATATATATATATATATATTTATATATATATCGAAATATATGCGTTCTTGTCAGTATCGTATGTATATTTCTGTTTATATACATACACATATTCATATACATTCGCATTTGTCAATGTTGGCATGGATGTATGCTCCAAGTCCTGATGCCTGTGTGGACGCGTGCATGTGGTATTCATTTCAATGTCTTCTAGATGAACCCTACATATGTTGTTCGTATTAACCTATGCTCATAAAATATACAGCTCTTATTCATTCTCGGCTTAGCGCTCGTCAATGGCATGACAAGGTTTCTGAGATTGGTCATACAGCCACAAAGGTGGTACGGGTCTCTGGGCTTCATACTTGGTATAGCGCTGGTGCTATCCGGCTATTGTATAATTGGAATGGCAGTTGAAATCGCTGGATTCACATTCTTATTCTGGTATGTCCGACACCGTTTTAGTCGTAGATAAGCGATTTTCAACTATGTACTATCAGTTTTGGTTACAATTTGATTTTGAGTCTGATTTGGTTATTGCGATAGTGATAGATATACTTGATATTCGATGTTCTACAGTTAATTAAAAGATATGTAATGTCAAGTCGAAGTCTGATGCGTTTTTCTCGTTAAACCACTTTGCAGGGACTTCATACCTACGGCGGTAGGCTACTTGCAGCGCACGCCCTTGTTGGGTTATCTGATGGAACTGTCAGGGATCAATCAGGTAAGTATTTGGGTCTCCGTTTAAACTACGTTAAATTGTGCTATCGGTGAACACATCATACTGTCCTTTGTACCTGCGATTCAGCTCGTGTGCAATGGAATAAAATCATTCTTTCACGCTGAACGCTGTCTATAGTATATAGGAATATTTCATCCTAACAGTTGTTCTCTGCGGCGCTCCTGTAGTCTCAGTGGATTTGGCTCTCGTTTGAACTTTGAAGCCTGACGGTTACTGACTGTTGAGTTTTATTATACTTTACATCTTTTATTTTATATCACGCCCCAGGTATTAGAGCGAATAACGCCAGCGCGACGCCGAAAACTCTCAGAAGGCTGAACTCGTCGAATTTGCACGCTGAACCTTTTTTCAGTAGTGATCGTTTACAAATATTCGATCAACTACAATTTAGTAGCAATTGAATAGTACAGCGGACATAAAGGCGCGACATAATATGTTCAAATACACCCGCATGGTCAGCGTCCTGGTGCTTCACCTTTGGATTCCGTATGCGAAATAGTGCAGTGCATAGTCACAAGCGAACGAGTTGCGTGGTAGTAGATGATTCTGACAAGTCGGAGACTGTTGATTTGATGTTGACTTAGCTCCAACAGACTGCTACTGAATAAAAAACATACAAATGATGCCTATGCCCTTCTAGCTATCCGTGTTCAAAGCAAGCTGTTGTACTGTCATAACTTGAGATTCACCAACATGTTTGTAACAATCATATAGTCACCAGGTTGCAGCATATAAACGGAAGTCATGTACTACGACAGGAAATCAGTGCTTGTTCGCGACTTGAATATAGTAATATGTGGCTATCACCAATCAGCGTAGAACTGAATATACAGCGTATCTGACAGTGGTCCTAGAACTTCTTACTAACTGGGAGTGCTAACTTTGGCGCATAAGTATCTACTACGATGTGTCCATCAGCTAAGTACACGAGATACAGTTTGATATCGATTGAAGCATATTCACCTAAAAATGACGACTTTGGCGATATATTAGAACAATTCTAGAAATAGCGAGGCAGCTATATAAATATGATATTGGTATTTTTTTTGTAAAGGGTCTTCTCCAGCCTCTAAATAGCCAGCTTCTGGAATGCGTAATGACAACAACAACAGTGCGCTATGAAATTCAACTTCCCTACAAGAAGTGAAGCGACGGGCGCATGAAGATAGTCATGGATTTTAATTTTTGATGTAAACTCAACAACGATACGCAATTACGCAGAATACAATCACATATTCGTGTCGTACACGTTGGTGCTTTGCCCTGGTTTGGACAATCTTAGGATATCTTTGTGTGTGTAAGTGCCATTCACTGCCGATCCGGGGCACTCTAACTCGGCGCCCGGGCCAAACACCTCGAGAGGCGTGAACGGGAAGCGATAGCTCACTTCTGAGTCTTGCAGCCAGCATCCTAGGTTCACTGGAAATCCCGTCGATGAGATATTACTATTCGGAAGCACGATAGGAAAGTCCCATAGCACATTATCGTCCGCGAGAGTGGCATTCTGTGCTTCAGCATCCATCTGCCACTTCATGTTGTTGCGGTCGATATTGGTATGGTGGAACAAAAAGATAGGATCGTTGATGGATGTTGTGACGTCCATGAAATCACCCATGAATCCGGTGGCTAGCTGCAGGGATCCTATTTTGAGATGGGCTTGTGCGTGGAACCACGGTACAGTTGTTTGCGTACCCTGTACACTGTAAATTCCATAAGGAGGATTGGCATTCTTACTGGCGACGTCTATTTCTACACAATTCTGCCATTGCTCCCAGGTCTTGATAAATGCGTAGTTGGCACAAATATTGGTATTGGCTTCAAGTAACATTATGGGGTCAGGGTTACTATAGCCTGATTTGTCAAATCTCGCGACGAAACTTACATTGCTGGGGTTTGTGTACTTGCGATTAAACCCGGTAGTTTCCGAGCCATTGTAAACATCAGCGTATGGCGCATATTCTGTGCTGTTAAACTGAGATACAGGCCAATATGCGAAGGAACCGTCGGTCACAGCGTAGTTCTCGCTCGGGTTTCCAGTATATGAACCGAAGAATTTGGGTGAAAAAATGGAGTCTTCATCAGACATCGCATATTTACCACCTATTGCACTGTCTAGTGCCATATCCCAGTATGGAAGTGCCTTGAACTCTGGACGGATCGACAGCAGAGTTCGCTCAATCTCGAGGAGCAGAAACCGATGGAATGTCATACTGTTGTATTAAAAAAGAATTAATAGAGAAAAAGTAGCATCAGAATTCTAGATTTGATGTTGAGTCGCAGTTCGGAAAGCAATGATAACCGGACACAAAACAATCTGATTGTTTGAGTAACTTACAAGCAAGGCCCAAAATGCCCTTGGTCTCCCTCTGGTGTTTGCACTGCCGTTGCATGCTTGACTACAAAATGATCCCAGTTTCTGAAATTCCCACCATATTTTGCCATACCTTCAGTGGTCGACAAATTTCGCATTATCCACATAGCATCGAAAAGAGCTTCACGCTCAACATCTTCCAGTTCTCGCAACTCCTTGCGTATCCGCTGGGGCTGACCCTCTGCACGCTGACATAAATAGGGTGTGATTGAAGGCGCGCTATCAACGCTGACTGTGTGTGTCGCTATGAATAGTGCACACACCAAGGCTAAGAATATAGTACGCATTTGGAAGTTAAGATAGTCAATTAAAAGATTTCTGTTTGTGCTTGATCTGTCTGCTTGCTTGTGTGATTTATATATGCGTCTATTTGTCAAATGTAGAGCTACACATGGTCCATTCAGCGTTGTGATTTTAGTTTACCGTGTGGCCATCAGTAATATATTTGTTATAGCACAGTAGATTGTTTTTAAAAGCATACTTTATACAAGATGGTTTGAAGATATGCATCACCAATTTAGAAACCGTAAGCAACAGAGCCAGATAGATCTTTAAAAAATGTATTATACAGGCCTGACGATCCAAATATTGGTTATCCGTCAGAAATGTGGAAGCTGATCGAAGAAGACAAATACAATCCATTTCCCGCAGGCTGTAGGCCGCCTGTAGCCCGTAGGCCGTAGGGCTATTAAAATTCAGATTCTCTCTATGTACTCCCTCTCTCTGGTGGTATCAGTGATTGATGCCTCCTATTTTTTAAAACAAAAAAATGTATACTCTATCTATTGATTCACGCTCTATATTTAAAGATATGAAAAAAGGTAAATACCAAAAAATAAATACTTTAAAACAATCCAAAATAAAATGGGGGTTTGCACTTTGCACTTTGCCGTTTGGGACTTTGGGACTTTGAATATTTTTAAATACACATATTTTAAATATGAACAACGATTGATAGTACCTTTTTTTTAAATTTATAATGAAAAAGCAATATTATAAAGCTTAAAGTATGTGAGACTGCGAGTGCGAGGCTTCGAGTCTGCTAAATACAAACGACATTTTTTTTTAAACACATTCCATTTTCAGTTTTCAGTTTTGACGACTTCTTGTCAGTTGTCAGTTGTCACTGTCGGTTGTGTTAAATTTTTTAATTGACCACGAGAGTCACGACTCACGAGTCACGACCGTCGGAAAAGTTGTCTCTATTCATGAAATTTGAAATTGAGACTCTGGGACTGGGCCACTTCTTGGGACCTTGGGGCTTGGGTACACCTGGGACTATATCATGCATAGGGACTCTGGCCGCCTGGACTTTGGCCCTCTGAGAGACTGAGAGTCTGAGAGTCTGGACTTTGAGTTTAACCTTTGGGACTTTGGGCCTTTGGGTCACTGACTCTCTGTGGGATATTGGGACTTGGGAGTCTCCGAGTCTGAGACTCTGGGGGTAGAGAGCAACACAAGTCGGAGTTGCGCTTGTTGCGCTTAACTCCTCATATATTTTTAGAATTCAATGATCACTCGATCACAGATTCAAAGAGGCACAAGAGCGAAGATTTTTAACATATTTTGATGTTTTTGTAGATTGTTCTATTTTGGAAAAAATATTACAGCCTACCGATACAGACTGCACTCCAGCTGGCTGCTGCACACTCTATTACATACTATAGCAGACCAATTTAGGCGTAGCCCAGAACAAGCCCTCTATTTTGTTTTGTTCGTTAGTAGCTGTATATTTACATACTGTTCATAGCCTTCTGAAAATTGAACATAGAAGGCTATGTACTGTTCATTTGTATATATATACATATATACTGTTCATT